GTTTAGAAGAGGGAGAGCGAGAGCGAGAGAGAGAGAGAGAGAGAGAGAGAGAGAGAGAGAGAGAGAGAGAGAGTCAGAGAGAGAGAGCGTTCTGTATAATTGCGCGCCTCTCATTCGTATGCAGCTTGCCTGTAGTTTCATGTTGAGTCGTGTTTGTTTCTTCCACTGAAGTTTTTATGCCACAGCAGAAGCTGCACTGACACAAAACTAGAAACGGTAAGAGATTTCTAACCCTTCTGAAACACAATTACTCATGTTAAATTATTCTGAATAATGAGGGTCAGTGATCCACAGGATCTCTTTAGGCTCAGCTTCTGTAGAGATACATGTGTGTGTATGCTTTTGTAATTACTCATTCCAGCTTGTGTTGAATGTTTCATTTTATTGTTTTATCAGACAGAGACGACGCAGAATAACACTGCTGCATAGCTAACTGTAATTCCAGCATGTGTCTCTGCTTAGGGTTTAACTAAGAACCAAAGACCCATTTAGAACACAGCAGAACTGTGTATGTACAGAAAATTAAACACACACACAGAAAATAACCATTCACATAAATCCAAATTAGCAGTATTTGTCTGATTTTAGTGTGTCTTTATGAACTTTCTTAACTTTGTGAATATGTGAACGAATCAAAGGTCAATAAGGCTCCATTTAACTTTAGTTATTAGTTAACATGATCTAACAATGAATATACTTCTAAAGCATTTATTAATCTTAGTTAATGCTAATTTCAACATTTACTAATACATAATCAAAATCAAAAGTTATATCTGTTAATATTATTTTAATGGAATTGAACTAAAATGAACTAATAATCAGCAATTGTATTTTATTAACTAACATTAAGAAAGATTCATAAATACTGTAATATGCGTATTGATCATTGTTAGTTAGGGTTAGTGTTAGTGTTAAGTTAATGCATTAACTAATGTTAACTGTTGAGACTATTGTAAAATGCATCGCATATTTCAATGAACTGATTGTCTCTAATTTAATGCATCTTTTGGGTATCATTGTACAAATGTGATTCTACAGAATTTGCAAGAGCTTTTTCATTTAATGGAAGAACTTACACTTTAGCGTTGTTTTCCTGCTCCAATCTTCGACATACACAGTCCTCAGTAACATGAGACAGTTAAACGTTAACGTGTCTGAATGGAGCCCCAGAATTCCCTGGCTCCACATCACTCACGTGTGTCTGAAACTGAAAAACTATAAAAGTCTAAAGATTTCTGCTCATGAAATGAATCAGACTGGCTCAAATGAATTTCACTAAACATGATCAAACTCAAAGAGTAGTGGCTGACCGAACGTGATGTTACTCAGACATCACAAAATGACATTGTGCAGGTAATGAACTCACCCTCAGGCCATCTAAGATGTAGATGAGCTTTTCTCTCTTTAGTAAAACAGTAAAGAAGATTTTTAGCTGAAATCGTGGCTCTTGGTGATTCATAAAACACTTTGATTGTCAAAAAAGCATATTGAGCAACACAAAACGAATACCCGTGGCTCCTGGCGATATATTGAGGTCTGTGCAAGAAACTGAACAATATTTACAACATTATTACCTGTAATCCACATGTTCGGTTTCTTGCACAGACTGATTGTTTCACTTCATAAGACCTCAGTATATCGCCGGGAGCCACAGATATTCATTTTGTGTTGCTCGATATGCTTTTCTTTTCTTTTTTGAGTGTTGGTAGCCACTGACTTGCATTTTATGAATCATCAAAAACCACGGTTTCAGCTAAACATCTTCTTTACTGCTCTACTGAAGAAAGAAAGTCATGGTCTAAGAGGGAGTAAATTACCAGCAAATACTAATTTTTGGGTAAACTATCTCTTTAAAATCTGTGGAATGAAACACACTGACTGCTAGTCAAAGTGAACGTCATATGTGCACACAGCAGAAGCAGAACGTGAAAGAGTGCTGTTTGGTTGGTTTGATGACCTGCTGATGCTCTTGTGTGTTCAGGACTGAAGTGATGGACCCAAACGAAGCAGTTCTGCCATCCCTTTACAAAACAACTCTTGTTCGGCTTTATGACACCCATGTTCTCTGGTACGATAAGCTGAACTCGACAGCGTCTCATCACTGAGGAAGACTACGAGCAAAAAGACGTTTGCTGGTGAACTATGGAGGACTGTGCTGTGACCTCCAGCGTGTCCACGTTCGCTCTCACGAGCGCCTACCAGGACTATCACTGCAATGAAATCCTTCAGCAGCACTATAACTACACCGGCAAACTGGATCGGGACCGGTACAGAGATGGACTGAAACCAGACTCCATCATCCTCCTATTCATCTGCCTCTTCATCGTCGTGGAGAACTCGGTCGTCCTCATGGCCATCTGGAAGAACAAGAAGTTCCACATGCCCATGTACTACCTGCTGGGTAACCTGACGCTGTCGGACCTGCTGGCCGGATTCACCTACATGCTGAACATCGTGCTGTCGGGTTCGAACACGCTGAAGCTGACGCCGCTGCTGTGGTTTCTGAGGGAGGGCGGCGTCTTCATCACGCTATCAGCGTCTGTCATCAGTCTGCTGGCCATCGCCATCGAGCGCTACTTCACCATGCTCAACACCAAGCCCTACCACCGCGCCAAACGCAACCGCATGTTCGCTCTGATCGCCGCCAGCTGGGCGCTGTCGCTGTTGCTAGGCGCTCTGCCTATTATGGGCTGGAACTGTCTGCATCATCTCAAGTGGTGCTCCACCGTCTTGCCACTCTACGCCAAGAGCTACATCTTCTTCTGCGTGTTTGTGTTCCTGACCGTCCTGCTGGCCATCGTCCTTCTGTACGCACGCATCTTTCACTTCGTCAAGTCCAACACGCAGAACCCGAGCTGCGTTCAGCGCAAACCCTACGGCCATCGCTCGCTGAAGTACATGGCTCTGCTGAAGACCGTCACCATCGTGGTGGGAGTGTTTATCGTGTGCTGGATGCCGCTGTTCGTGCTCCTGCTGATGGACTTCGTGTGTCCCGTGAAGACGTGTCCTGTTCTCTTCAAGGCTGATTACTTCCTGGGCGTGGCCATAACTAATTCCCTCATTAACCCCGTCATTTACACGCTGACGAGCAGAGACATGCGCAGGGCTATTCTGAAGCTGCTCTGCCGCCGCTGCCTGATGACCAAAGACGGCCGCGTGAGGAAGATCGGCATCCGTATCAGCTTCACGAAGACAGACGTGAACCGCCAGGGACTGGAGACGACCATCTCGTCCGGGAACGGCATCACCTCACCCATCAAATCCATCTACCCCAAACTCAAGCTCTCCGTCATCGCGTAAGCTCTCTTGAAGCCCGAGCACATTTCAGGCTCTGGACTGAATCGTGACAAATCGAACCTAATTAAAGGCAGTCACAAACCCAGTCACAAACCCTCATGCAGCCTGAAAGAGAAACGGTTTCAAACACGACAGTCGCTTTTGCGATATGGACCTGAAATCGTGAGCAGAAAGAGGTCTTTGCATAAGTGTTTTTCAGCATTTCAGCATTCGGTCCTTTACATGAGTCAGTCACAGTTACATTTGCACAAATACTCAGATATCAGTTCATCAGCCAGTATCAGAATCAGATCTGAATGCATGCAAAGACTTCAAACAAATATGCTGAACTGAACTGAACTGCAGACAGTGAGTGACGTGACATGTGACAGGTGACCAAGTATGGTGACCCATACTCAGAATTAGCGCTCTGCATTTAACCCATCCAAAGTGCACACACACAGCAGTGAACACACACACACACACCGTGAACACCCACCCGGAGCAGTGGGCAGCCATCTATGCTGCGGCGCCCGGGGAGCAGTTGGGGGT